AGTGTGGCATTAATAATGAATGTGTTTATCTTGATTTCTCTTTTAATGAAAACTACTACGGTGGTTTAAAATAGACCTAACATGAGAAACATAGCAGACGAAAGGCAACACTTAAAAAAATTACTTTAAAAAAACCAACAGATAAAATCAGGAGAAAATTAATCAGCATTTTCAGTAGCAAGCAAAGGATAAACTTCCCAAAGAAAATAATTGCATATACAGAATTCCTGAAGATGACCGCACCCATTTGCACCTGCCCTGTCTTTGTCAGCAATGACTACCCAGAAAGATCCCAAACTCTGTAGATGTTACTTAAATCCTCAAGGAGGATAATGCATATTTATTTGGGTCTATTAACAAACCTGGTTGCAGTACCTATACAGATGGTGATTTTCCAGCTTTACATCATTCTCCCACTCATTCCGTGGCTACTGAAGCCTGCCCCAGGATGAAGGTGAGCTAGGGATTCCTTGAGCCTGGTGGAGAGTGGGGGATGGGAAGCTTTTAATTTCCCAAAATGGTTGTAGCTGATTACATCAGTGGAGATACGTGGTATATCAGCGGTCCCCAACGTTTTTCGGTCTGTGGACCAGCTGGGGAAGGCAGGCCCCTCGAGCTCTCTCTTGCACAAGTGCACTTGTGCTCACGCAATGCGCGAGCAGCGGTGTGGCGCTCACACAGGCGCTTGCTCGCTTGTGCGCATGGGCAAATGGTGGCGCTCGCATGGGTGTGTTGGAGTGCGCACACAGGCACAAACAGGCTGTGCGGGGGTGAGTGCATGCGGGGGGTGGGGCAGGAGGTCTGTCTCAGCGGCCCGGTCCAGCTCAGGCTATGGACCGGGGGTTGGGGACCTCTGGTGTAACTGGTGCCAACAGGATTCTGGACAACATGTGTTAACAAATTCCTATAATACTACAGCGGTGTCTCAACTTATGAAGGTCCCTACTTATGACCAGCTCCGGTTGCAAAATTTTGCTTCTACTGCAACCGGAGCTTCCACTTACGAACAGAAAACGGCAGGGGAAAAAGGCGGGGGTTTTTACAGCGTGATTTTGAGATGGGGGTTATGTTTCTGTGCTGTGATGGGTCTTGGGGGGTTTGTGCTGTTGTTTTTTCCGCCATTTCCAATGGGTCTTGGGGAGTCTTTTTGCTTTTTAGTCCCCCCCCATTTCTGATCTTGCACGATCTGCTTGATTGCTTTTTGCTTTCTCTTGATTGCATTTGCAATGGGTCTTGCACAGTTGATTGTTTTTTGGTTTGTTTTCTTTGCATTAGGTCTTCCATGCTTGATTGCTTTTTGCTCTCTTGTTTGCTTTTGCAATGGGTCTTGCATAGTTGATTGCTTTTCTTTTTGTTTCCTCCTTCAGCTGGAAGGGATTAATCATGTTTCCAATGAGTCTTGCAGTGATTTGTGTGTGTGTGTGTGATTTTTCCGTTGGCCAGAACGGATTGATTGCATTTCAATGCATTCCTACGAGAAATTGTGCTTCGACTTATGACCATTTGGAGTTATGACCATCTTCTGGAACGGATTATAGTCGTAAGTCGAGGCACCACTGCACTCTTCTGGATGTCATATTCTAGGAGGTGGGAAATGCTTCATTACAGCAGGGGATGGTGCTTTTTGCCTTGAAGGAGGCAGTGGTGCACCATCTCCTGAAGAGGACCTCTCTGGATCAAGAGATATATGACAACAATTGTCCCATTGCAAATATGTGCAAAGTGCTTGAACACATGATAGCTGGGCAGCTTCAGATGTTGCTTGAAGAAATTGATCATTTGGACCCATTTCAGTCTGGTTTCGATTTGATACCAAAATGGCCTTAGTTACCCTGGCTGATTACCTTCTCTGGGCCAAGTATGGCCCTGTTAATTCTCCTAGATGTCTCAGCAGCTTTTGATACCATTGATCATGGCATCCTCTTGAACAGGCCTGTCCAAATGGGACTGAGAGGCACTCTACTACAGTGGTTCTATTCCTATCTTTGGAACTGATTCCGAAGAGTGGCATTGGGGAACTTCTGCTCAGCCCCATGACAATTTCATTCTATATCCCATGCTTTTTAATATATGAAGCCGCTGAAGTCATTAGGAGTTGTGGGGGTAGGGTACCATCAATAGGCTAATGACACTCAGCTCTACTTGTCCTTATCATTGGGGTCAACTGAGGCTATGCAGGTACTGGACCAAAGTCTGGAGGCCGTAATGAGGGCTGATACACTGAAACTGAATCATGACAAGATGGAAGAGTAGTGTAGGAAGACCTGTGCTAGATCGAGTTTTATTCACCCTGAAGGAACAGGTACATAGCTTGGGGGTACTCCTAGATTCTTCTTTGTCACTGGAGGGTCATGTAAGCCCAGCAGTTCAGAATGCCTAGGGTAAGCTTTGACTGGTCCGTCACCTCTGACCATTCCTGGGCAGGGATAACCTGGCCACCATAGTCCATGCCCTGATAGCTTCCTGGTTAGGCTACTCTGTGATGCACTCTACATGGAGCTACCCTTGAAGATGACACAAATGCTGCAGCAGATGGAGTAAATAATAGCTAGACTGCTAACAGGAACATCCTTCAGAAACTGCATGACACCAATTCCAAAGGATTTGCATTGGCTGCCAATACGCTTCCGGCCTGCGTTCAAGGTATTGATAAAGCCTAAGCAACTTGGGAAATGGACATTTAAAGGAGCTATATAAATCTGCCTGATCATAAAAACTGCTAGGAAGATCCTCCCCCATGTCCCACCACTGAGAACAGTTCATTATATGGAGAAAGGGGGGGGGAGGGCTTTTTGTGCCATAGCATCCCAACTGTGGAGGCCCAACATTAGCATTATTTTGGTATCTACTAAAAATACTTATTCATTAGAGCCTTTGGGGGTTGTGTATCATCAGACCCTCCATAATTTTTTTGTGCAATGGTTTTAATGTTTTACATTTTTCCTGTTTGATTTTAAATTGTTCTAAATATCTTTTAACATGATTTTTATACAGCTTTGTAACCTGCCCTGAGATTCTGTGAGATAGAGTGGACTATAAATGTTTAAATAAAATAAAACCCTTATTACTGACTATGCTAGTTAGGGTTGATAGTAGTTATAGCCCAATATCACAAGTCCACATTCCCCTCTGAAACAAATCTATCCACAGTATATGAAACATGAGAATCTGCTATCCAATTTTCAAGAATCAATGTACCTGCTGGAAGAAAAATCTTAAGGAATGCCTTCCTAAACTGATCTGAAAGCAACACTCGAGTACTTTTCACATAATCTTGGAAATCTGAACCTACATAGGGACATTGAACCAGACAGTGCCTTAAATTCTCCTTTATTACCAAACCACATATTCCAGTTTGTTTAGCAATTACAGTAATGCAAAGTAGTAACTTCTGGTACTCTTTCTGCAAGTCAGTCTGCCAAGAAGAGGGAGAAAAAGGGAACTCCAATTATGGATGACACATAAATACCAGAATGCTCCTTATGCTGAAAAACACTAAGATTCTGAAGGTTAAAACAAGAGCTGATTACTTGGATTAAGTGGCTCCCCACAGAGAATAAATATCACACCAAAAATATTCACACATATGATCAAGAGCAGAAGCAAGTCCCATTCATAGTGAAAAGGATCCTTGCTGTTGACAGATTTCCTAAAAGTTAAGAAAAGCTGCCATTCACCCAACACACAACTAGAGCTGGGGGTGCGGGGGAGAGAACCAGAAAGCACATTGCTCTCTCTAAACTAGAATTCATATCCACAGTGATGCATAACAATCTGGAATCCATTTCAAAGATCTAAATACAAGGACTAGATTGTTAAGAGCCTCATAATAGGCCTGTACAACTCATGATAAAACTGAAGCCATACAGCTCACCATCAATGTATCATGGCCTGATGGGTGTTTGATTGGAGATTTCAAAAACAAAAGCAGCTGACGAGTAATTCAGCACTAATCTACCTAAGGCAGGTCATGTAATTTGGCATAACGTCATTTGACTGTCCGTCCAGTTTACAGAATCAGTCTTATCCCCAAGGCAAATCCTGTGCTGTATTACCAGCACAACTTGTACCTCCTTGCTATGATTTCATCTTTCTGTGTCAGTCTGGCCTCTTTTTCTTTTCGGCATTCTTCAGGTGCCTTTGATATTCCTTGGCATCATCCAGTTACAGCCAATTCTCTTTTCTCTTCTGCAATGCATGGCTTCCAAAGCCCATTTCCTGACAAACATTATTTCTTGATTCTCCTATTGCTTGCAGCTAACATCCACCCATGATCACGAGGTTATTCCCACAGGTTCACTTTGATTTCTCTTCAGAATGTCCCTTTTGCAATAGCTTTTTTTAAAAAAAGAACCACAAAACAAGGGGTGTGTGATCTTGCATTAGAAATGCACTGTAAGAAGCAGTGCAAAACTGCTCTATAGCTACAAAATGGCAAAGAAGGCAGAACTTAATGTCCGGGTACAAAGGGGCTTAAGTCCACCTGGGAGGTGAAAACATACAAAGATACCCACCCTGGTTTCTCAGGGCTGAGGGCAAAACATGCCTTCCACAATTCAATCATTAATTTATGGACTTCACTAGCACTAGAGGGAAACAAAATAATGGGCAGCAGCTCTGATAGCTTTCAAGGCAATTGGTACAGAACAGGTACACTGTACCTAGCAGCTGTTAGCAGTGACACAACAACAACAGAAACCGACAACAGAGGAGTCCATTGCCCTCGTGGCCCGTTCGCCGTTGCTGACAATACTGTATCCTTGAGGACCCGTTCAGATCTCCTAAGGTTTACTCTGTACATGCTCAAAGGCACCCTTTCTCTACAGCCTTTTTGTCTGCTTTCTAGATGAGCTCTGGAATAGATCGGAGGGCTGGACCAAGGTTCAAAGTAGGAGCTGAGTAAAAGAATAAAAGACAAGAGAGAGAGAGAGGCAGAGAGAGAGAGAGAGAGAGAGACAGACTCTATGGGGAATAGGCAAGGACTGGGAGGTGTTCCTCACCAGAAGAGCAGGTTGGCGCAGAGGAAGCCGGCCAGGGTGCAGACGGGCCTCTTCCAAGTCAGCACCTCCATCACGCAGCAACGGCCACCGGCGGGTCCCGCCGGGCATCCCCCCTCCTCTTCCTCCTGGCGCTGCTGCTGCTGCTGCTGCCGCGGCTGCTCCTCTTCCGCCGCCCATTCCCTCGCCGGGCTGCTCGGCGCCGAGACCACCTGCTCCTCCTTCCCCGCCATCGCTCGGAGGGCGTCTGACAGAAGGCGAGGACCGACAGGCGGCGCGCCAGCCGGGGCAGGAAATACCTGGGGTTTGGGAAAACAGCTTTTGCCATCATACATGGCTCACAGGCTATATGATTTCTACCCCTGGTTTGAGTATTTCTTATTATCTGAAAGTTTTGGATTTCTAACATTTCTAATTACGTACTATGGAAATTGCTATATGATCATTATCCTCTATTTATTAGAGTTCATCTGGAGATTAACGCTGTCTCTTATAGTGGGCAGGCATGGGAAGAAAGGTGGTCGGGGGGATCTGTTTGTTAGGCTTTTAAAGTCAGTGTATTGGAATACGAGATGAGAATGAAAGGGGGCTGGGGTAAGTTTTTTTTTTAATGGCATCGATACCGTTTGAAAGTAAGATGGTCGAGGCTACTGCCAGACATTGGATGCTGCTGAGTAGAAGGTGGTGAGAAGGGCTCACTGAGGGAAAAGAAAAACGAAACTCCCCCCCCCCCC